GGACCAGTCTTCCATGAAGAAATTGGACAATGTAGTGGTGCTCGAATATTGGAGGGTCAGGTGCAAGGGAATAAATGCGAGCAGTAACGTCAAGTACTTCTAAAAACGACCCACTAACTCGCCTCCCCAACCCGGAACAGGTGGGACGACCGGGAGCTGTGATTGGTCAGAGTTGGGTAATTGCGACACGCCACTTCGACTTCGAAAGCGAAGTTTTGTAATAAAATGCCCTCATCACCACCGCCAGCTAACCATCTTCCCTGCACACCCCACCCCGTTTCCCCGGACGTGAGACGACCTAGCGGTTCTTTACAATCCCCTCTACCCCTCCACCCTTTCCCCGACAGCTTAGGAGCTAGCGTGCGGCAACCATCTATCTCCAAACCCAACAACTTTTTACCTTTGTCCCTTTTGGTTGCGGAATATTATTACTACGACATCTGTTCCGGGTTGGGGAGGCGCGTTAACAGTTCCTCTTCTAAAAGAACAACTTTGCCGTTTGCGATGGACCTCTACGACGGCATGGAGCCTCAGGCGGGCGTTGAGCAACGCGGCGTCGCGGCTACCATTCGCCAGCTCGACGACAACACTAAAACGACACGTGGCAAACCGCTCTTGCAGAAGCGCGAACGAAAGTTTCTCAACAAGACATTTCTGCACAACAAGTCGGTCGAGTACAACCCGGACGTGAATGACCGACTGACATCAATGGCGCGGCGCTGCGGTGTTGCGTCCGACAACGTCGGTCGAGACGGTAGTTGTCGACGCTCCGAATCGGATGCAGGTCACAATACGGCAGTCGACAACCTCGGTACCATGTTCGCGGTCGCTGGTGCCATCGGCGCCCTCGGTTCTGCCGCATACGGGGCTTACAACTCGTATCAAAAAGCACAGCGCCAACGCGAGCTTGAACGGAAGCGTGAGCTTGAACGGCAGCGCGAGCTTGAGCGTCAGCGTGAGCTTGAACGCCAACGCGAACTTGAACGTCAGCGACACAAGACACTGCAGCTGGTTGCACTCGCCGCCCTTTACGTGCTCGGAAACTGGTTCTGGTGCCTCAGCTTTGCGAGGTGCGTGCTTGTCGGCAGCATTGTCTGCAGTCTTCTGACCCCGTCGTACGCTGCTCATACCATGCCTGTCGCTGCGTGCACTCTTATCCTCTGGTGCTTTGGATGGATCTAGCTGCTCACTTGCAGCGCTGCGCTCACCATGGCACGGCCGTTGGAACCCAACGACGTTGGGGTGCTTCTACGGCCACTTAGTCTGACGTATATACTTTCTACCGAGTTCACAAGGCGTTCGTCCATACAAACGGTGTGTCCAATTTGAAATAGCGTCTCCTCGTGTTGCCTTGAAGACTGAGACCTCCGGCGAATCGCTTCCAAGTCGATCGCAGGGAAGATTTCCAATGTCAAAGGCCGAGTGCGTTTGGGACATCGAATGTAGTGGTGCCCTGCGTGCCGTGGAGGGCGAGACGGTTTTGGCTTTGTGCTACGAGTGGCAACTCGGGCTCGGGTGCTGGTTGGTTGCTTGCATGTCTTGACGATTGAGCCTCCTCGTAAACCCCGCTGCTGACTACTAGTACTTGGAAATGGTCCATTCGGCATGGGAATGATGGCTGAATGTTGCAGGATTAGGTTAGCTGTACATGGTAGGTGCCGAAATGAATTTTTCTTTCTTTATATATGAATTTCACAATTGCGAGCTTGCTCAGGAGGCAATGGGCGTAATGCCTTCATTACTGCCAAGACCTCGGGTGAGGTGAGGCGGGTTGCTCAGTTGGAGTCGAGATCTAGAATGCTAGCTCTACGACGGTTCGCAAGATACGTCCCTTTGTGAAAAGGTCGTTTCGACTTCCTACGCGCGCAAAACACCCAAAATTCGTTCATCACCATCGGAGTTTTGGTGCAGTCTTCGACAAGCCCGACAAGCTCGACTCGACGATAATGCCATGAAGACATGTGGCAATTCGCTCTTGGCGCGAGGCGACCGACAATTTCTTAACCAAGTCATTCACGACGCGTCGGACGAGTACAGCCCAGCTGTGAAGGCCCGCCTAACGTCACTGGCGACGCGCTACGGTGTCGCGACCGAGAATATCGATCGCGATGCTCGTCCTCGACCTTCTGAAGCGGTCAACAAAACGGCGGCGGGCTCAAGCGGCCTCTCTTCCCTGTTCATGATGGCGGGTGCGCTGGGTGCACTCGGCTTCGCAGCGTTCAAGGCGTACAACGCGTATGAAGAGAACGAACGCGACAAACCTCGCGACCGGGATAAGGACAGCCAAGGAGGCACCGATGGACACTATTCGATTGACGAAGATGATCTTGACCAAACAGCAAAATTGCGACGTGCCAAGTTCATCAATGTGATCGTGATCGTCGTCGTCTCCACGCCGCCTTGATACATAGCTTCATCGTGTTGCCGGTCGAGCGTCACGTTCACACTCAACGCCAACGCCATACAGGCGCGTCGAGCGAGCTTCGAGAGACGATTACCGCGCAGATGTATCGTCACTGCGTGTGTACATTGCAGCTGTGTGAACGTCGATGTCAGCAGCAGCACACGGATAAGCCCTCGCGCCAGCAGCTTCCACCGCAACGGACTCATGGACCCAGATAGGGCATATATCAGTCTTGTGCACATACAAGAGCTCGGACGGTTTCGTTTGAAACACACCCGACGGCTTGCACTCCTCTGTCGGGCGGTCCGAGTACAGGAGCCTGCGTACGACCTCGCGCGAGCTATGACTCGGCGAGTGGGGTCCACCACGGGATGGATCTCTTCGTACGCCGCTCACTCCCAACGACCAAGTGCTGGAGCCAACTCCCACGCATTCAGGCGTAGCGCTACGTATGCGAAGTCTTTGTGTCATAATGAAGATAACGCGGAACACGTTCATAATAATAATACAAGAGACAGACCTCGGGCCACAACGCGCAGTGAAAGGCGATGAGCTCGAGGAGCGCCATGAAAGCGTCGTCGGTGGCGCTTCGAGCAGCGCGCGAAGGAAGCTCGTGACGTCTACCACTGACGCGATTCGGCACGTGATCTGGAGCGCGACGACTGGTTGTCCCACGCCGACATCGACTGCTACGCAGCTAAGGCTTCGTTCGGTTGGCCAATAATGGACTTATTTCGCCATTATTGACCCCATCCACGATTATTTTTGGAATGATCGATTATCGTGATAATTGATAGCGTTCGGTAGGATTTTTTGGAATAAGCGCTCACAACGCCGTTATTCAAAAATTGGGGTCTGAGGAATTTCTGGTTCATTATTGCTTGGTTTTAGGATTATCCGAAACAAAGCCTCGCTGATTAGGCCTGAAAAAAGGTTGTCTCTGACAGCCACGCGTTTCTTCCATTCGACTCATTCTTCATTTTTCGTCATGCAAGCAAGATCGTCACGAAGCGCGGCGGCCATGGCTGCATGTACTCGTTGCGCTCCTCTATGAACCCATCCCATGTCCTTCATCCATCCAGACAGAGACCACGTCTACTGCGAGCTACTCGAGGCTTGTAGCGAGGCGCGCTGGGCGCAGGTAGCGGGCAGGGCGCATGCAGCGATCTCGATCTTATTGCGCGCGTGGAGGAGTGAGGTCTTCGTCTACTGTATCTAGTGGCCGCAAGGTTGGCGCAGGACATAAGTGTTGCTCATGGCTCTCTACATCATGACCAACAAGACGCATGCCGATGGGCGGGAGCGCTTCCAGCACGCATAAGTCGACGACGAGGGCTAGTCTCTGGACGATCGCACACACCGATATG